AAAGAGCACTGCACACTACCAAGCGGTAGCGATCATTAGGAACAAAATCAAAGGCCCAGCTGGAGCCTTACTGGTGTCTCACAACACTGTCCTAAATTTCGATGCAATACTAGCTAGGCTAGATTGCACATACTCGGATGAAACATCCTTGCGCTTGTTGAGACAATGTTTGGAGTTAGTTACGCAGGGCGAAATGTCCCTGATGCAATACTACGATGACGTCGAAAAGAAACTCACGCTAGAAACTAACAAAATTGTAATATCTCACGACCAAGAAGGCGCCGATTTGCTCAACCGGGAGGTCAGAGACGACGCCTTGCACGCCTTTATCTCCGGTCTCAGAAAGCCGTTGAGAGCGGTTGTGTTTCCTGCACAACCAAAAGATCTACCATCCGCACTGGCCTTTGCCAAAAGCTAGCATTGAGAGAAGCATGTTCGCGAACTCTTACGCTAAAGCCTTGCAAGACCGAGCGCAAATTGCTGAAAGTAACAAAAGCCGTGCCCAAGGCAAACAAACCAGATTTAACAAAGATGAGCAAAATCAGGAGAGAAATCCCCATTTTGTGAAACGCCCAAAGGGCGGTCCCCAGCCCCAGGCCCCTAAAGACAATCAAACCGAGGCTCCACAGCCCATGGAAGTTGACTCTTCCTCCAGATTTGGACAAAAAACCAACTACAGCAAGCGTCAGGCTAATGAGTCCAACGCACCAAAACGCAAGAATTCGTCAGACCGTTCAACAGGTCAAAGACGACAACGCGTTAACAATGTCGTACAATCAGATTCCAAAGAAGCCGTAACAGAATTCGAGAAGGCGGCCAAAGAGGCAGTTGAAGAACTAGAGAGTGAGAACGAGTTCACACCTGGTGACGACTCGATTAATTTTTTAGGGAACACTCCCGGCTTCCGTACATTGAACGACGGTTGGCTGGGAGAACTCTGAAGATGTTGATTGACACTGGCGCGGCAAAAAATTATGTGAAGCCCTTAACAGAGCTAAAGACCATAACGCCGGTCGCCAAGTCATTCTCGGTAAACTCAATCCACGGGTCTACCGAAATCAAGCGCAAATGCTTGATGAATATTTTCCAACATACTTCCCCGTTTTTTCTCCTCGATACCCTAAGTTCTTTCGACGCCATCATAGGCTTCGACTTGCTAACACAAGCCGGAGTCAAATTGAACTTGGCAAAAAACACTCTGCAATACCAGAGTACATCTGAAAAACTCCAGTACTATCAATGTGCTGATGTGAACTTCACCGATGTCAACGACATCGTAGGCCCCCTTCCGTAAAGAAAGTGTTTAGGGACATGATACTCAGAAACAAAAGAGCTTTCTCAAATACAGATGAAGCTCTCCCTTTTAATACTGCTGTTATCGCTACAATCCGAACAGTAGACAACGAGCCTGTGTATTCAAGATACCCGAGTCTCATGGGTGTTTCTGACTTCATAAACAAAGAAGTCAAACAATTACTGGACGATGGCATAATCAGGCCCTCCAGATCGCCTTACAACAGCCCAACATGGGTGGTTGATAAAAAAGGCACTGACTCATACGGTAACCCAAAAAAAAGGTTGGTAATCGACTTCAGGAAACTGAACGAAAAAACCATACCGGACCGTTACCCCATGCCGAGCATCCCCATGATCTTAGCAAATCTAGGAAAGGCGAAATACTTCACTACCCTAGACTTAAAGTCTGGGTACCATCAAATCTACCTTGCGGAGCATGACCGCGAAAAGACTTCGTTTTCAGTAAGCAGCGGCAAGTACGAGTTCTGTCGCCTACCATTCGGCCTGCGCAATGCAAGCAGCATACTCCAAAGGGCAATAGACGACGAAGATGTCATGTTAATGTATCCAGACTTCCAGAAACCGTTCGATTTAACCACTGATGCTTCGGCCAGTGGAATCGGCGCGGTTCTTTCCCAAGGCAATAGGCCAATAACAATGATTTCTCGTGCCTTAAAACAGGCCGAACAAAACTATGCCACTAACGAAAGAGAATTGCTGGCCATTGTGTGGAGTTTAGGCAAACTGCAAAACTTTCTGTACGGTTCTAGGGAAATTAACATTTTTACGGACCACCGGCTGCTCACGTTCGCTGTGTCAGACAAGAACACGAATTCCAAGATTAAAAGATGGAAATCTTACATTGACCAGCACAATGCCAAAATGTTTTATAAACCGGGCAAAGAGAATCTGGTGGCGGATGCCCTTTCAAGGCAAAACATTAATGCTCTGCAAAATGGGCCCCGTTCGGACGCTGCAACCGTTCACAGCGAACTTTCCCTGACCTACACGGTCGAGACAACAGACAAACCTTTGAATTGCTTTAGGAACCAGATTGTCCTAGAGGAATCGCGTTTTCCGTTAAAGCGAAACTTGTTGCTGTTTCGCAGCAAAACACGCCACTTGATCAGTTACACTGACAAGAGCACAATTCTCAAAACTCTCAAGGAAGTTGTGAACTCTGGAGTCGTTAATGGAATACATTGCGATCTTCCCACGTTGGCAAGTTTCCAACACGACCTGATCTTGCATTTCCCTGCCACCCAATTCTGGCATTGCAAAAATCTTGTGCAAGATATAACGGACAAAAACGAGCCGTTAGAAATCATCACTGTCGAGCACAATCGAGCGCACAGAGCAGCTCAGGAAAACATTAAACAAGTACTTCGTGACTATTATTTTCCCAATATGGCCAGTTCGGCCAAAGAAGTGGTTGCAAACTGCAGGGTCTGCACTAAAGTCAAGTACGATAGGCACCCGAAGAAATAAGAACTCGGGGAAACGCCTATACCAAGTTATACTGGCCAAATGTTGCATATTGACACTTTCTCGACAGACAAGAAACAGTTCTTGACCTGCATAGACAAATTCTCCAAATTTGCAGCCGTCCAACCGATATTATCCAGAACGATAATCGATGTCACAAGCCGTCTACTGCAAATTGTTAACCTTTTCCCCGCAACCAAGACAATTTATTGCGATAACGAGGCGGCCTTCAATTCCGAGACCATCACTTCGATGCTCCGGAACGCCTACGGCATTTGCATTGTGAATGCGGCTCCGCTTCACAGCACCTCAAACAGCCAGGTGGAGCGCTTTCACAGCACACTGACCGAAATTCCGAGATGCCTTAAGTTAGACAAGAAAATCAGCGACACTACAGAATTAATCTTAAAGGCTACGATAGAGTACAACAAAAGTTTGCACTCAGTAACCCGCGAGAAACCAATAGAGGTCGTCCATGCCGCAGCTTATGATCGTAGCGAGAACGTCAAAGACAGGCTAATTAAGGCACAGCAAGACAATATCAAAAGGTGCAATGCAGCCAGGCAAAACCGCGTTTTCGATGTAGGAGAAAAGGTGTTCCAGAAGAACAACAAGAGGCTAGGGAACAATTTAACTCCCTTATGCTCAGAACAAAAGGTCGAAGCAGACCTGGCAACGTCTGTCCTCATTAAGGGGAGGGTGGTCCATAAGGACAACCTGAAATAAGTTTTCCTCCACAATTAGCTAGTAAGTCAATGCCAAAATGTTTTATAAACCGGGCAAAGAGAATCTGGTGGCGGATGCCCTTTCAAGGCAAAACATTAATGCTCTGCAAAATGGGCCCCGTTCGGACGCTGCAACCGTTCACAGCGAACTTTCCCTGACCTACACGGTCGAGACAACAGACAAACCTTTGAATTGCTTTAGGAACCAGATTGTCCTAGAGGAATCGCGTTTTCCGTTAAAGCGAAACTTGTTGCTGTTTCGCAGCAAAACACGCCACTTGATCAGTTACACTGACAAGAGCACAATTCTCAAAACTCTCAAGGAAGTTGTGAACTCTGGAGTCGTTAATGGAATACATTGCGATCTTCCCACGTTGGCAAGTTTCCAACACGACCTGATCTTGCATTTCCCTGCCACCCAATTCTGGCATTGCAAAAATCTTGTGCAAGATATAACGGACAAAAACGAGCAGTTAGAAATCATCACTGTCGAGCACAATCGAGCGCACAGAGCAGCTCAGGAAAACATTAAACAAGTACTTCGTGACTATTATTTTCCCAATATGGCCAGTTCGGCCAAAGAAGTGGTTGCAAACTGCAGGGTCTGCACTAAAGTCAAGTACGATAGGCACCCGAAGAAATAAGAACTCGGGGAAACGCCTATACCAAGTTATACTGGCCAAATGTTGCATATTGACATTTTCTCGACAGACAAGAAACAGTTCTTGACCTGCATAGACAAATTCTCCAAATTTGCAGCCGTCCAACCGATATTATCCAGAACGATAATCGATGTCACAAGCCGTCTACTGCAAATTGTTAACCTTTTCCCCGCAACCAAGACAATTTATTGCGATAACGAGGCGGCCTTCAATTCCGAGACCATCACTTCGATGCTCCGGAACGCCTACGGCATTTGCATTGTGAATGCGGCTCCGCTTCACAGCACCTCAAACAGCCAGGTGGAGCGCTTTCACAGCACACTGACCGAAATTCCGAGATGCCTTAAGTTAGACAAGAAAATCAGCGACACTACAGAATTAATCTTAAAGGCTACGATAGAGTACAACAAAAGTTTGCACTCAGTAACCCGCGAGAAACCAATAGAGGTCGTCCATGCCGCAGCTTATGATCGTAGCGAGAACGTCAAAGACAGGCTAATTAAGGCACAGCAAGACAATATCAAAAGGTGCAATGCAGCCAGGCAAAACCGCGTTTTCGATGTAGGAGAAAAGGTGTTCCAGAAGAACAACAAGAGGCTAGGGAACAATTTAACTCCCTTATGCTCAGAACAAAAGGTCGAAGCAGACCTGGCAACGTCTGTCCTCATTAAGGGGAGGGTGGTCCATAAGGACAACCTGAAATAAGTTTTCCTCCACAATTAGCTAGTAAGCCAACTTAGAGTTAGAACATCGTCTTATATTGTTCGCCCATTTCAGGTTTGCACTCACTTTACTTGTGGCACTAGCAGCGGTAAATGCTCGGATCATCGACTTCTCGCATACCAATTACATTCCGGTCTTAGACGGGGAAGTACTGGTGTTCGATCAACGTAGCTACTTGAGGCACTCAAGTAACATTTCTGAATTTGTTAGTATGGTAGACGAGACGGAAAAACTGTCCGATTCCTTTCCACAGTCGCATATGCGCAAACTACTAGACGTAGATACAGATCACCTTAGAACATTGTTGTCCGTTCTTCAAGTACATCACAGATTTGCACGAAGCCTCGATTTGTTAGGCACTGCCTTGAAGGTTGTTGCTGGCACCCCTGATGCTTCAGATTTCCTAAGGGTCCGCGTTACAGAGACGCAGTTGGTGGAGGCTAACTCCAAACAGATACTAATAAACTCCGAAACTCAAAAACAAATAAACAAGCTGACGGACACTATCAACAAAATTATCAGTTCCCGCAAAGGCGATTTGGTTGACACTCCTCATTTATTCGAGACACTGTTGGCAAGAAATAAAATACTGAACACAGAAATTCAAAATTTAATACTCACCATAACGTTGGCAAAAGCAAACATAGTAGATCCTACAATCCTTGATCATACCGATCTGAAATCACTTATCGAACAAGATACCCCAATAGTTATCTTAATAGAAGCTTCTAAGATCAAGGTCCTTCAGTCCGAGAATATTATCCACATATTAATAGCCTACCCTAAAGTTGAGTTTTGGTATTTCTAAGTACGCAACACACAATCATAAGTATTTGGTTGCCCTCAGAAACAAATACAACAACACACAGCCTTAAGCATTTTGGTTGCCCTCAGCAACAAAGTAGTATTCTTGTAAACAATGCTGACCCGCTGCCAAGAGTTCTGCGCACAGCAACTGAAAACGGACACCCGTGCTGCAGAATGCTGAGTCGGCATGCCGGCGTATGGCGTGATGCATTGGCTTCACAGGGCAAGCTTAACCTTGAACATTTCTGTAGCCTTTAGTCACAATCTAGATCGCAAAACATTATAAGACGAGTAAATGATTAAACTCCGGCATTGCCGTCAATAAACGATATTCGTGTTATCAATCATAGTTGACCATGTCCCAGACGGGCAACTGGGAAAGTTCCCACAGCCTAATCACATCGTTCCAACAGTCTCCTGTTGGATTCACCACACATCGTCGCCAGACAACGGAGTTACGACGAAAGACTTAATTTATAGACACACACGCACATCATATTATATGTGTATCGTTTGCTATTTTTCCTCCACAGCAGCTCAAGATCAATTTATATATTTATTTTAACCAATTAATTGGCAAGTGCAAAAGGTAAACAAACATTAGGGTTCTAAAGTATCAAGATCGGTTTTCGATACTCTGATTCTGAGAAAATTTTATATTTTTGTATGTTTCCACTTTGCCAAAAACCTTCCATTGAGCTGCGTTTAGAATAAACGTACTTCTTCTTGAGCTCCACAATTAATAAGCAATAAGCATCACCACCACTACACTAATCCTTTTCTCTGGTGTTTCAATAAAGAAATAATAAGAATTTTTCTCAAGTAAAGGAAGCTAAATAAGCATCAATTGGTAAATTATTAGTAAAATAATTAATTTAACAACATTTTCCGATTTTGTTGGACTCAATAGTGAACACCATTTCGGTCATTCCATTTTATTCTGATATCTTAATTCCATCGTTCGTTGATTCAAATTATTTGTATTCGATCACATTTCACCTGGTTATTACAATTTTTGGCTCTGTGAAGACCCTAGTATTCCAATCGGTGGTGATCAAAACAGCCACAAACTACTCACACCACCGTCCGTTAAGGAATCAAAGCGACCTTTAACCTCACCTAGAGCAGTTTTGGGGAAACTCAAGGTCAAGAGTACCAGCACAACCGTCCGCAAGACTGTGAGTCCGATTCCAACAAAAGATATTACCCCAAAAATTACCCGTTCGACTACGCAAAAAATGCAGAAGTCAAGCGAAATGGCACTGAACGACATCGTTTCTATAACTGACCGACTAGACCAGTTTGAAGTGAAGATCAATGATGAAGCGGACAGTGTCGCTCCAAGTCCGACGAGATCAGATTAAGACTTTATGGGAAAAGGTAGAACGCGAGTACGAGGTATGTTCCAAAGCTCTCAACCAAGGCGCTTGCAGCATCAGTGACCTGGTGGTGCAAGCTAAATATGATTACTCGTACTCCGTTTACGACCGATGTGCGGCTCAACTAAGTGAAAAAATAGAAAGAGAGACGGCTTTAAATAGACAAGCTGAGAAACCACTCTCCAACTTCTCCATGTCCAGGGGTTGATGTCTCCCGCCATGCGACACTGAAGTTTTCAGTGGGGATTACCTACGCTGGCCTACTTTCCGAGACTTGTTTACAGCAGTTTATATTAACAATCCAAGATTGACGCCGGTGGAAAAATTGTTCCATCTAAATTCCAAAACCAGCGGCGAGACTAGGGCAATTGTCTCCAAGTCCCTGCTCACGAATGACGGCTTTCAGTCAGCGTGGGCGAGCCTGACGGAGAGATTTGAGAATAAGTGACTTTTAGTCAATAGTCAATTAAAAATTCTTTTCAATCTCCGCTCAACAACACAAGAGTCTGGAGGCGCTGAGAGCTTTAGGGCACAATCCAGGGATGTTTAACGGCTCTCGACTTGTCCGGGGTGAGCACCGAAAATTGGGATTGTCTGCTTATTTTCTTGTGGTCCTCTAAATTGCCTAAGTTCACGCTGTCGTTATGGGAACAATCGCTCCACGATAAGGCAGAGATACCTCAGTGGTCCGAGATGAATTCATTTCTGATCGACCGATATCGCACCTTGGAGGCGATAGAGGATGTAGGACCTACCGCACATACGCCACCCCAGTCTAAACCCAGAAGAAAAAAGTCCAACCACCTGAGAACCTTCGAAGCAACAGTGACTACAAAGTCACAACACTGCAAATTGTGTCAGAAGGAAAACCATCCCATGCGTCTATGCCCACGTTTTCTACAAATGTACATACCCGAGAGAGTTTCCGTCATTAAGCAACAAAAGTTGTGCTTAAACTGCTTCGCCAGACAGCACCAGTTGAAAGACTGCACCAGCGCACATAGTTGTTTCAAGTGCAAGGGACGTCACAACACGCTACTCCACCGTGACAGACCCCAGGTGCCCTGCTTCCACAACACCAATAGTTTTGAACCCTCCTTCGTCTATACAGTCCACTTCTACTTTGACCCAAGCTACCGTTCAAAACTACTTTTCCGCAAACTCACATGTTGTTCTCCTCGGCGCGGCTGTCATCCAAGTGTGTCATTTGGGCACAAAGTATACAGCTCGGGCATTAATCGACTATGGGTCTGAAGCGACCTTTATTGCAGAGCGATTGTTCAAAAGGGTTAAACTTCCTTATCAACCCGTCGACGCACAGGTCTCCGGTTTCAAACAAGCTATTTCGGCTTAACCTGAAAAACTTAGCTATTTTAATATTGGCTCTCCGCCCAGGGCTTATATTGAAACGTCGGCTTATGTTCTTTCAAAGCTAGCAGGCAATTTGCCCTCCTACACCATCCCCCAAACCGCTTTGGAAGAACTTCCAAAATAACACTTGGCCGATCCTTCTTTCTATAGGAGCTCACAGATAGACGTGCTTCTCGGCGCCGATATCCTCCCATCCATATTTGTAGGTGGCTCCTATCCCAACATATGTGGCACTCTCCTTGGTCAAGAAACGACGAAACAGGCCCCGTTTCTAAGACCAGTGCCAAATCGATCGCATCCTTTTCGACTCAAGTCTCACTGAATCCAAATGCGAGCTTGGATAAACTGCTCACAAAATTTTGGGAGGTGGAGGATATTCCAGTAAAGCTGGAAAAGGAATCTGACCTATTTTGTGAGCGCAATTTCCAAAAGAACACTAAAAGAGATAAAAACGGCAGATACTTGGATTCATTCAAGAATTCCGATTACATCCAGTTAGGCCATTCAAGGTCCATCGCACTAGCTGGCAAAAAATGCCCCCCTTAAGGAGCAGTACGATGCGGTGATCCAGGAATATCTGGACTTAGGTCACATGCGACAAGTCCTTCAAAGCAATTGTTTGGATAACTTTTTTCTACCACACCATGCTGTTCACAAGCCTGACAGCACCAGTCTGAACGATGTGCTAGATGCAGGGCCCGTTCTGCAATCCGACTTAACCATTCAAATTCTAAGATGGCGCTTCTTCCGATATGTCTTCAATGCCGATATCACGAAAATGTATCGGCAGATACTTGTGCATCCCAAACGCACACCCTATCAGAGAATTCTGTTCCGAACAAAGGACAACGAGCTTCGTGACTTCGAACTCAGCACAGTCACGTTTGGAGTTAACTGTGCGCCCTTTTGGCAATCTGGGTACTACATCCGTTATCTGATGACGTTCGTTCGCTCTATCCCTTAGCAAGTCACATTATCGCAAACAATATGTATGTCGACGATGTACTAGCGGGAGCCCATTCCAAATCAACGGCAGATCAAGCAATTGCAGAACTCCGCAAAGCCCTTGAATCTGCCGGGTTCCCCTTGCGAAAATGGACATCCAATGAGAAGGACTTGCTAAAAGCGATTCCCAAGGACCACTTGCTTCGCTCCGACTTCTTAGAGATCGAAGAAGCCTGTTCGGCAAAGACTCTCGGAATCAGATGGAAAGCTGACACCGATGAGTTCTTTTTCGCTCCATCCGAGCTAACAACCAAACAGTCCGTCTCCAAACGTCAAGTCCTTTCACAGATTGCCAAACTGTTCGATCCAGCAGGTTGGCTGGGTCCAGTCAGGCAAAATTATTCATGCGGGAGATCTGGCTCCAAGAACTGGACTGGGACGATCCGCTACCTGAGAGTCTTCTCAGTAAGTGGAATTTATTTCTGCAAGAGTATCCGGGCCTCAGTGGGATTCGCATCCCTAGATGGGTCGAATTCCGCCCACAGGGGACTATTCAATACCACGGGTTTTGTGGCGCTTCGCAGCGTGCATATGGGGCCGCCATTTACGTGCGCACTGAGATATAAGATCGCATCTCAGTACATCTCCTAACAGCGAAAACGAGTGTCGCCCAGGTCAAGACGGTATCCTTGCCACGACTAGAGCTGTGCGGAGCCGCACTTCTGTCCGAGCTAACAGCTGCACTCAGTCCCCAGTTACCTTCCGCTGGCGGCGACTGGCTCTATTGGACAGATTCCATAATTGTGCTAGCTTGGCTTCATAAGCCACCATGCGCCTGGACTACCTTTGTAGCAAACAGAAATGAGCTGTGGTGGCACGGGCCAGAATGGTTACACCTACCTCAGAACCTATAGCCCATTCCTTCAGATCCCCTCCCAGATACGACAATAGAGCAACGTACGAGTGAAGTAAACCTCGCAAACACGGCTCCCTCATTTTCTTTCCTCGAGCGCTTCTCCAATTTCGATCGAGCCCTGCCAGTGTTAGCATACATCTATCGTTTCTTCAAGCGTTGCAAACGATTGTCGCTCCCGTCAACTATTGCAATTCACAGCAACGAGATTTCTTATGCACAAGAAAGACTCATTCTCCTGACCCAGAGACAAGCATACTCGTCAGAGTACACTTGCTAGAGCACGAAAAAACAGCTCACTTCCAGCAAACTCCTTAATTTGAACCCCTTTCTAGATGGTAAGGGAATTATTCGAGCATGTGATCGTGTAAGAGCGACATGTGCCGCGTCTCGCGTCTCTTGACCGCTTTCACCCATCTAATATCCTTGCATGGAGGCAACTTGCTCATGATGCGTTTAATAAGATCACAGAAAAATTCCTAGCGGCATTTGCGAGATTTGTGGCACGACGAGGGTGCCCAAGTCATATGCATTCCGACAGCGGCAAAACCTTCGTCGGAGCGGCCAAAGTCCTCTCGCGCGATTTTGTAGACTAAACTCCAGGCCACTTACAGTCTCCAGAAACTGTCCTAGCACTTCAACTCTCCTAGTGCACCGCATATGGGTGGCCTGTGGTAGGCAGGTTAAAGAGTTTCAAAAATCGACCTCCAAATACACCTTCGAAGAGCTTTCCACGCTCCTATCCAAAGTTGAAGCATGCCTGAATTCAAGACCGATATCTCCAATGTTGGAAGATCCTACTGATCTCTTAGCTCTGACTCCCGGTCATTTTTTAGTCGGCGGTCCTCTACTTTCCGCCACAGAGCCAGAAATCAAGGAAAACGCCGGGACCATCATCAACCGCTGGCAGCGCTTGAAGGCTTTGCAACAACAGTTCTGTGTCCGTTGGAAACATGAGTATCTTTTAGAGTTACACAAAAGAAAAAAATGGCAAACTCCAATGCGAGACTTACAACGGGACAATCTAGTCATTATTATAGAAGATAATCTTCCCGTTAATGACTGGCGTCTAGGTCGAATCCAAACGACCTATCCTGGCAACGACCAAAGAGTCCGAGTGGTCGACGTGTTAACAGCCCGAGGTATCTCCAAAAGACCTATCTCTAAGCTGATCCTGCTCCCGATAGAATCTAGTCTCCATTCTCCATCCAGTAGAATCTCCAGTAAAGACTAGAATCCTAGATCCATAGGTCTGCGGACCATCCGTATAAGGCCGCATAAGTAATGTCTATTATGTTTTTTTTTCAATTTTCTTCACGTAACAGCACAATATCTCCACGCCAACAACAAGGCCGATCCAAGAGCCGACCGGCAACTGAATCGTTCCGATGCCGAGTATGCCGAAGAGTCCACGTGCTGCGAAAGTGCCCTTTTAGTCCCGTGCTGTCCGGTAAGTCTTATCGACGCATCCTTGGCAAAGGCCTCCGGGCTATCCGTCACCCGCGTCGGTAAAGACATTTGGATTTTGCACAAATTCAATATACCCTTATACCCATTTTTAATGGGTTCAGGGTATAAAAAGAAGTCAAACCTAGTCAGTTGAGCGGCACCAGGTTTGAAAAATATTTTTTCTTCTCTCTTTGTTCCAATGGCATTTTTTCCTTCTTTCTGTTTTGCTTTGAACATTAATTTGTTTACTCATATTATATATGACAAAAAATGGAACGGGTTCTATGCAACGGTAAATCAGAATTTTGCTTTCATTGTGAAATTCGCTAAATGTGTGGTCTATTTTTGGCTCATCTGATTAGGTTTGACAACTTTGACTTCACTTTTTGATTGACTGCGTGATTGAAAACATCTAATTTCTTTGGTCTACTTAAATTTAAAGTAATTGCTACCATTTTTTTTAAATATGGGTGGGGGAAAATCTTTAACCGATTTTGAAAAAGGTCAAATTAAAGGCTATATTGAATCTGGCCTAAAACCTAATGAAAAAGCAAAGAAGATTGGTCGAAGTCAAAACGTGGTAAGCAATATTCTTCGTAATGAAGCCGATTACGGGAAAAAAATGAAAGGAGGAAAAAACTCTCCTACAACGGCATCAGAGAGGCGACTAATCCTTCGAGCTGCTTCGAATTCCCACCTCTCTGCCAGTAAAATCATGGATGAATGCGGCGTAAATGCTAGTTTGGCAACGGTAAAACGAGTTATTCGGAGTGCTAAACACTTAAAGAGATTAAAGATTAAAAAAAACGTCCTCTCAATGATGCACGGAAGGAAGAAAGGATGAATGCGGTGTAAATGCTAGTTTGGCATCGGTAAAACGAGTTATTCGGAGTGCTAAACACTTAAAGAGATTATAAATAAAAAAAACCTTCTCTCAATGATGCACGGAAGGAAGCGTTACTTCGATTTGCGCGGGATCACATGACATAGAAGAAGGAGTGGAAGGCTGTGGTCTTCTCCGACGTAAGAAAGTTCAATCCTGACGGACCGGATGGCTTCAACTATTATTTTCACGATATGCGAAAAGAGGAATGCTTTTTGAGTCGTTATCACTCCTGTACAGGAGGCGTAATGGTTTGGGGAGCCATTACGTTTTATGGAACTTGCGAGCTGCAGTTTGTTTCCTCAATGATGAATGCTAATGTCTACAAGACTGTGCTCCAAAAGGCTTTTCCCCAGTTTTCCGAAATTTTTGGACCTATTCAATGGACAAACAAGACAACGCCCCCATCCATACAGTCCGAGTTACAAAACAGTGGATTAAGGACCACAATGTCAACTTGCTCAAGTGGCCGCCATATTCCCCAGACATAATATTATCGAGAACATTTGGGGACTTTTATCCAGGAGAGTGTATGAAGGGGGAAGACAATTTCAGGACTCGGCGACCCTGGTTGAAGCGATTAAAAAAGCCTGGTCAACTATTTCACTGAGTGAAATTGAACAAGTAAGAGGTTCTAGTCGGGAACTCCCGACTAGAGGATACCCTGAACCCTCTTCTTCCAAGATCAAATACATATTGTTCACACAAGAAGTGTATCCGGCAGTCGCCATCCAACCGCCATGTAACTCCGGAGCCAGCACATGGAACATGAAATTCACCTCACTTACATTAATACATTGGCAAGTGCAAAATGTAAACAAACATCAGGGTTGTAAAGTATAAAGATCGGTTTTCGATAAACTGATTCTGAGAAAATTTTATATTTTTGTATGTTTCCACTTTGCCAAAAACCTTCCACTGAGCTGCGTTTAGAATAAACGTACTTCTTCTTGAGCTCAACAATTAATAAGCAATAAGCATCAATTTTTTGCGCGATGCGCTTCCACTACACTAATCCTTTTCTCTGGTGTTTCAATAAAGAAATAATAAGAATTTTTCTCAAGTAAAGGAAGCTAAATAAGCATCAATTTGTAAATTATTAGTAAAATAATTAATTTAACAAAATTTTCCGTTTTCGTTGGACTCAATAGTGAACACCATTTCGGTCATTCCATTTTATTCTGATATCTTAATTCCATCGTGCCTGTGCCATTTCTTATTCCGTTTTCGCTCGGCTGATTCAAATTATTTGTATTTGATCACATATTACCTGGTTATTACAATTTTTGGCACTCTGAAGACCCTAGTATGCCAATCGGTGCTGATCAAAACAGCCACAAAGGACTCACAGCACCGTCCGTTAAGGAGCCAAAGCGACCTTTAACCTCACCTAGAGCAGTTTTGGGGAAACTCAAGGTCAAGAGTACCAGCACAACCGTCCGCAAGACTGTGAGTCCGATTCCAACAAAAGATATTACCCCAAAAATAACCCGTTCGACTACGCAAAAAATGCAGAAGTCAAGCGAAATGGCACTGAACGACATCGTTTCTATAACTAACCGACTAGACCAGTTTGAAGTGAAGATCAATGATGAAGCGGACAGTGTCGTGTCACTGTTCACTCTCCAAGTCCGACGAGATCAGATTAAGACTTTATGGGAAAAGGTAGAACGAGAGTACTAGTTATGTTCCAAAGCTCTCAACCAAGGCGCTTGCACCAGCAGTGACCTGGTAGCTATGCAAGCTAAATATGATTACTCGTACTTCGTTTACGACCGATGTGCGGCTCAACTAAGTGAAAAAATAGAAAGAGCCACGACTTTAAATAGACAAGCTGAGCAACCCCCCTCCAACTTCTTCATGTCCAGGGGTTGATGTCTTCCGCCATGCGACACTGAAGTTTTCAGTGGGGATTACCTACGCTGGCCTACTTTCCGAGACCTGTTTACAGCAGTTTATATTAACAATCCAAGATTGACGCCGGTGGAAAAATTGTTCCATCAAAATTCCAAAACCAGCGGCGAGACTAGGGCAATTGTCTCCAAGTCCCCGCTCACGAATGACGGCTTTCAGTCAGCGTGGGCGAGGCTGACGGAGAGATTTGAGAATAAGCGACTATTAGTCAATAGTCAATTGAAAATTTTTTTCAATCTCCCCTCAACAACACAAGAGTCTGGAAGCGCTGAGAGCTTTAGGGCACAATCCAGGGATGTTTAACGGCTCTCGACTTGTCCGGGGTGAGCACAGAAAATTGGGATTGTCTGCTTATTTTCTTGTGCTCCTCTAAATTGCCTAAGTTCACGCTGAACAATCGCTCCTCGATAAGGCAGAGATACCTCAGTGGTCCGAGATGAATTCATTTCTGATCGACCGATATCGCACCTTGGAGGCGATAGAGGATGTAGGACCTACCGCACATACGCCACCCCAGTCTAAACTCACAAGAAAAGAGTCCAACCACCTGAGAACCTTCGCAGCAACAGTGACTACAAAGTAACAACACTGCAAATTGTGTCACAAGGAAAACCATCCCGTGCGTCTATGCCCACGTTTTCTACAAATGTCCGTACCCGAGAGAGTTTCCGTCATTAAGCAACAAAAGTTGTGCTTAAACTGCTTCGCCAGACAGTTTATATTAACAATCCAAGATTGACGCCGGTGGAAAAATTGTTCCATCTAAATTCCAAAACCAGCGGCGAGACTAGGGCAATTGTCTCCAAGTCCCTGCTCACGAATGACGGCTTTCAGTCAGCGTGGGCGAGCCTGACGGAGAGATTTGAGAAAAACCGACTATTAGTCAATAGTCATTTGAAAATTCTTTTCAATCTCCCCTCAACAAAACAAGAGTCTGGAGCCGCTGAGAGCTTCACCCACAAGAAAAGAGTCCAACCACCTGAGAACCTTCGAAGCAACAGTGACTACAAAGTCACAACACTGCAAATTCTGTCAGAAGAAAAACCATCCCGTGCGTCTATGCCCACGTTTTCTACAAATGTCCGTACCCGAGAGAATTTCCGTCATTAAGCAACCAGTTGAAAGACTGCACCAGCGCACATAGTTGTTTCACGTGCAATGGACTTCACAACACGCTACTCCACCGTGACAGACCCCAGGTGCCCTGCTTCCACAACACCAATAGTTTTGAACCCTCCTTCGTCTATACAGTCCACTTCTACTTCAACCCAAGCTACCGTTCAAAACTACTTTTCCGCAAACTCACATGTTGTTTTCCTCGGCACGGCTGTCATTCAAGTGTGTCATTTGGGCACAAAGTATACAGCTCGGGCATTAATCGACTATGGGTCTGAAGCGACCTTTATTTCAGAGCGATTGTTCAAAAGGGTTAAACTTCCTTATCAACCCGTCGACGCACAGATCTCCGGTTTGAATCAAGCTATTTCGGCTCAACCTCAAAATCTTTGCCATTTTAATATTGGCTCTCCGCCCAGGGCTTATATTGAAACGCCGGCTTATGTTCTTTCAAAGCTAGCAGGCAATTTGCCCTCCTACACCATCCCCCAAACCGCTTTGGAATAACTTCCAAAATAACACTTGGCCGATCCCTCTTTCTATAGGAGATAGACGTGCTTCTCGGCCCCGATATCCTCCCATCAATATTGTTAGGTGGCTCCTATCCCAATATATGTGGTCAAGAAAAGATTTTCGGCTGGATCCTTACAGGCCCCGTTTCTAAGACCAGTGCCAAATCGGTCGCATCCTTTACGACTCAAGTCTCGCTGAATCCAAATGCGAGCTTGGATAAACTGCTCACAAAATTTTGAGAGGTGGTGGATATTCCAGTTAAGCTGGAAAAGGAATCCGACCTATTTTGTGAGCGCAATTTCCAAAAGAACACTAAAAGAGATAAAAACGGCAGATACTTAGTCACACTACCATTCAAGAATTCCGATCACATCCAGTTAGACTATCAAGGTCCATCGCACTAGCTGGCAAAAAATGCACCCCTTGAGGAGCAGTACGATGCGGTGATCCAGGAATATCTGGACTTAGGTCACATGCGACAAGTCCCTCCAAGCAATTGTTCGGATAACTTTTATCTACCACACCATGCTGTTCGCAAGCCTGACCGCACCACGACCAAGCCCCGTGTAGTATTTAACGCCTCCCACCCGTCATCGAACGATAAAGGTCTGAACGATGTGCTATATGCAGGGCCCAAATTCTAAGATGGCGCTTCTTCCGATATGTCTTCAATGCCGATATCACGAAAATGTATCGGCAGATACTTGTGCCCCCTTTTGGCAATCTGGGTACTACATCCGTTATCTGATGACGTTCGTTCGCTCTATCCCTTAGCAAGTCACATTATCGCAAACAATATGTATGTCGACTATGTACTAGCGGGAGCCCATTCCAAATCAACGGCAGATCAAGCAATTGCAGAACTCCGCAAAGCCCTTGAATCTGCCGGGTTCCCCTTGCGAAAATGGACATCCAATGAGAAGGACTTGCTAAAAGCGATTCCCAAGGACCACTTGCTTCGCTCCGACTTCTTAGAGATCGAAGAAGCCTGTTCGGCAAAGACTCTCGGAATCAGATGGAAAGCTGACACCGATGAGTTCTTTTTCGCTCCATCCGAGCTAACAATCAAACAGTCCGTCTCCAAACGTCAAGTCCTTTCACAGATTGCCAAACTGTTCGATCCAGCAGGTTGGCTGGGTCCAGTCAGGCAAAATTATTCATGCGGGAGATCTGGCTCCAAGAACTGGGCCGGGACGATTCGCTACCTGAGAGTCTTCTCAATAAGTGGAATTTATTTCTGCAAGAGTATCCGGGCCTCAGTGCGATTCGCAACCCTAAATGGGTCGAATTCCGCCCACAGGGGACTATTCAATACCACGGGTTTTGTGGCGCTTCGCAGCGTGCATATGGGGCCGCCATTTACGTGCGCACTGAGATATAAGATCGCATCTCAGTACATCTCCTAACAGCGAAAACGAGTGTCGCCCAGGTCAAGACGGTATCCTTGCCACGACTAGAGCTGTGCGGAGCCGCACTTCTGTCCGAGCTAACAGCTGCACTCAGTCCCCAGTTACCTTCCGCTGGCGGCGACTGGTTCTATTGGACAGATTCCACAATTGTGCCAGCTTGGCTTCATAGGCCACCATGCGCCTGGACTACCTTTGTAGCAAACAGAAATGAGCTGTGGTGGCACGGGCCAGAATGGTTACGCCTACCTCAGAACCTATAGCCCATTCCTTCAGATCCCCTCCCAGATACGACAATAGAGCAACGTACGAGTGAAGTAAACCTCGCAAACACGGCTCCCTCATTTACTTTCCTCGAGCGCTTCTCCAAGTTCGATCGAGCCCTGCGAGTGTTAGCATACATCTATCTATTCTTCAAGCGTTGCAACGATTGTCACTCCCGTCAACTATTGAAATTCACAGCAACGAGATTTCTTATGCACAAGAAAGACTCATTCTCCTGACCCAGAGACAAGCATACTCGTCAGAGTACACTTGCTAGAGCACGAAAAAACAGCTCACTTCCAGCAAACTCCTTAATTTGAACCCCTTTCTAGATGGTAAGGGAATTATTCGAGCATGTGATCGTGTAAGAGCGACATGTGCCGCGTCTCGCGTCTCTTGACCGCTTTCACCCATCTAATATCCTTGCATGGAGGCAACTTGCTCATGATGCGTTTAATAAGATCACAGAAAAATTCCTAGCGGCATTTGCGAGATTTGTGGCACGACGAGGGTGCCCAAGTCATATGCATTCCGACAGCGGCAAAACCTTCGTCGGAGCGGCCAAAGTCCTCTCGCGCGATTTTGTAGACTAAACTCCAGGCCACTTACAGTCTCCAGAAACTGTCCTAGCACTTCAACTCTCCTAGTGCACCGCATATGGGTGGCCTGTGGTAGGCAGGTTAAAGAGTTTCAAAAATCGATCTCCAAATACACCTTCGAAGAGCTTTCCACGCTCCTATCCAAAGTTGAAGCATGCCTGAATTCAAGACCGATATCTCCAATGTTGGAAGATCCTACTGATCTCTTAGCTCTGACTCCCGGTCATTTTTTAGTCGGCGGTCCTCTACTTTCCGCCACAGAGCCAGAAATCAAGGAAAACGCCGGGACCATCATCAACCGCTGGCAGCGCTTGAAGGCTTTGCAACAACAGTTCTGTGTCCGTTGGAAACATGAGTATCTTTTAGAGTTACACAAAAGAAAAAAATGGCAAACTCCAATGCGAGACTTACAACGGGACAATCTAGTCATTATTATAGAAGATAATCTTCCCGTTAATGACTGGCGTCTAGGTCGAATCCAAACGACCTATCCTGGCAACGACCAAAGAGTCCGAGTGGTCGACGTGTTAACAGCCCGAGGTATCTCCAAAAGACCTATCTCTAAGCTGATCCTGCTCCCGATAGAATCTAGTCTCCATTCTCCATCCAGTAGAATCTCCAGTAAAGACTAGAATCCTAGATCCATAGGTCTGCGGACCATCCGTATAAGGCCGCATAAGTAATGTCTATTATGTTTTTTTTTCAATTTTCTTCACGTAACAGCACAATATCTCCACGCCAACAACAAGGCCGATCCAAGAGCCGACCGGCAACTGAATCGTTCCGATGCCGAGTATGCTGAAGAGTCCACGTGCTGCGAAAGTGCCCTTTTAGTCCCGTGCTGTCCGGTAAGTCTTATCGACGCATCCTTGGCAAAGGCCTCCGGGCTATCCGTCACCCGCGTCGGTAAAGACATTTGGATTTTGCACAAATTCAATATACCCTTATACCCATTTTTAATGGGTTCAGGGTATAAAAAGAAGTCAAACCTAGTCAGTTGAGCGGCAGCAGGTTTGAAAAATATTTTTTCTTCTCTCTTTGTTCCAATGGCATTTTTTCCTTCTTTCTGTTTTGCTTTGAACATTAATTTGTTTACTCATATTATATATGACAAAAAATGGAACGGGTTCTATGCAACGGTAAATCAGAATTTTGCTTTCATTGTGAAATTCGCTAAATGTGTGGTCTATTTTTGGCTCATCTGATTAGGTTTGACAACTTTGACTTCACTTTTTGATTGACTGCGTGATTGAAAACATCTAATTTCTTTGGTCTACTTAAATTTAAAGTAATTGCTACCATTTTTTTTAAATATGGGTGGGGGAAAATCTTTAACCGATTTTGAAAAAGGTCAAATTAAAGGCTATATTGAATCTGGCCTAAAACCTAATGAAAAAGCAAAGAAGATTGGTCGAAGTCAAAACGTGGTAAGCAATATTCTTCGTAATGAAGCCGATTACGGGAAAAAAATGAAAGGAGGAAAAAACTCTCCTACAACGGCATCAGAGAGGCGACTAATCCTTCGAGCTGCTTCGAATTCCCACCTCTCTGCCAGTAAAATCATGGATGAATGCGGCGTAAATGCTAGTTTGGCAACGGTAAAACGAGTTATTCGGAGTGCTAAACACTTAAAGAGATTAAAGATTAAAAAAAACCTCCTCTCAATGATGCACGGAAGGAAGAAAGGATGAATGCGGTGTAAATGCTAGTTTGGCATCGGTAAAACGAGTTATTCGGAGTGCTAAACACTTAAAGAGATTATAAATAAAAAAAAACCTTCTCTCAATGATGCACGGAAGGAAGCGTTACTTCGATTTGCGCGGGATCACATGACATAGAAGAAGGAGTGGAAGGCTGTGGTCTTCTCCGACGTAAGAAAGTTCAATCCTGACGGACCGGATGGCTTCAACTATTATTTTCACGATATGCGAAAAGAGGAATGCTTTTTGAGTCGTTATCACTCCTGTACAGGAGGCGTAATGGTTTGGGGAGCCATTACGTTTTATGGAACTTGCGAGCTGCAGTTTGTTTCCTCAATGATGAATGCTAATGTCTACAAGACTGTGCTCCAAAAGGCTTTTCCCCAGTTTTCCGAAATTTTTGGACCTATTCAATGGACAAACAAGACAACGCCCCCATCCATACAGTCCGAGTTACAAAACAGTGGATTAAGGACCACAATGTCAACTTGCTCAAGTGGCCGCCATATTCCCCAGACATAATATTATCGAGAACATTTGGGGACTTTTATCCAGGAGAGTGTATGAAGGGGGAAGACAATTTCAGGACTCGGCGACCCTGGTTGAAGCGATTAAAAAAGCCTGGTCAACTATTTCACTGAGTGAAATTGAACAAGTAAGAGGTTCTAGTCGGGAACTCCCGACTAGAGGATACCCTGAACCCTCTTCTTCCAAGATCAAATACATATTGTTCACACAAGAAGTGTATCCGGCAGTCGCCATCCAACCGCCATGTAACTCCGGAGCCAGCACATGGAACATGAAATTCACCTCACTTACATTAATACATTGGCAAGTGCAAAATGTAAACAAACATCAGGGTTGTAAAGTATAAAGATCGGTTTTCGATAAACTGATTCTGAGAAAATTTTATATTTTTGTATGTTTCCACTTTGCCAAAAACCTTCCACTGAGCTGCGTTTAGAATAAACGTACTTCTTCTTGAGCTCAACAATTAATAAGCAATAAGCATCAATTTTTTGCGCGATGCGCTTCCACTACACTAATCCTTTTCTCTGGTGTTTCAATAAAGAAATAATAAGAATTTTTCTCAAGTAAAGGAAGCTAAATAAGCATCAATTTGTAAATTATTAGTAAAATAATTAATTTAACAAAATTTTCCGTTTTCGTTGGACTCAATAGTGAACACCATTTCGGTCATTCCATTTTATTCTGATATCTTAATTCCATCGTGCCTGTGCCATTTCTTATTCCGTTTTCGCTCGGCTGATTCAAATTATTTGTATTTGATCACATATTACCTGGTTATTACAATTTTTGGCACTCTGAAGACCCTAGTATGCCAATCGGTGCTGATCAAAACAGCCACAAAGGACTCACAGCACCGTCCGTTAAGGAGCCAAAGCGACCTTTAACCTCACCTAGAGCAGTTTTGGGGAAACTCAAGGTCAAGAGTACCAGCACAACCGTCCGCAAGACTGTGAGTCCGATTCCAACAAAAGATATTACCCCAAAAATAACCCGTTCGACTACGCAAAAAATGCAGAAGTCAAGCGAAATGGCACTGAACGACATCGTTTCTATAACTAACCGACTAGACCAGTTTGAAGTGAAGATCAATGATGAAGCGGACAGTGTCGTGTCACTGTTCACTCTCCAAGTCCGACGAGATCAGATTAAGACTTTATGGGAAAAGGTAGAACGAGAGTACTAGTTATGTTCCAAAGCTCTCAACCAAGGCGCTTGCAGCATCAGTGACCTGGTGGTGCAAGCTAAATATGATTACTCGTACTTCGTTTACGACCGATGTGCGGCTCAACTAAGTGAAAAAATAGAAAGAGCCACGACTTTAAATAGACAAGCTGAGCAACCCCCCTCCAACTTCTTCATGTCCAGGGGTTGATGTCTCCCGCCATGCGACACTGAAGTTTTCAGTGGGGATTACCTACGCTGGCCTACTTTCCGAGACCTGTTTACAGCAGTTTATATTAACAATCCAAGATTGACGCCGGTGGAAAAATTGTTCCATCAAAATTCCAAAACCAGCGGCGAGACTAGGGCAATTGTCTCCAAGTCCCCGCTCACGAATGACGGCTTTCAGTCAGCGTGGGCGAGGCTGACGGAGAGATTTGAGAATAAGCGACTATTAGTCAATAGTCAATTGAAAATTTTTTTCAATCTCCCCTCAACAACACAAGAGTCTGGAAGCGCTGAGAGCTTTAGGGCACAATCCAGGGATGTTTAACGGCTCTCGACTTGTCCGGGGTGAGCACAGAAAATTGGGATTGTCTGCTTATTTTCTTGTGCTCCTCTAAATTGCCTAAGTTCACGCTGAACAATCGCTCCTCGATAAGGCAGAGATACCTCAGTGGTCCGAGATGAATTCATTTCTGATCGACCGATATCGCACCTTGGAGGCGATAGAGGATGTAGGACCTACCGCACATACGCCACCCCAGTCTAAACCCACAAGAAAAGAGTCCAACCACCTGAGAACCTTCGAAGCAACAGTGACTACAAAGTCACAACACTGCAAATTGTGTCAGAAGGAAAACCATCCCATGCGTCTATGCCCACGTTTTCTACAAATGTCCATACCCGAGAGAGTTTCCGTCATTAAGCAACAAAAGTTGTGCTTAAACTGCTTCGCCAGACAGCACCAGTTGAAAGACTGCACCAGCGCACATAGTTGTTTCAAGTGCAAGGGACGTCACAACACGCTGCTCCACCGTGACAGACCCCAGGTGCCCTGCTTCCACAACACCAATAGTTTTGAACCCTCCTTCGTCTATACAGTCCACTTCTACTTCGACCCAAGCTACCGTTCAAAACTACTTTTTCGCAAACTCACATGTTGTTCTCCTCGGCACGGCTGTCATCCAAGTGTGTCATTTGGGCACAAAGTATACAGCTCGCGCATTAATCGACTATGGGTCTGAAGCGACCTTTATTGCAGAGCGATTGTTCAAAAGGGTTAAACTTCCTTATCAACCCGTCGACGCACAGGTCTCCGGTTTCAAACAAGCTATTTCGGCTCAACCTGAAAAACTTTGCCATTTTAATATTGGCTCTCCGCCCAGGGTTTATATTGAAACGTCGGCTTATGTTCTTTCAAAGCTAGCAGGCAATTTGCCCTCCTACACCATCCCCCAAACAGCTTTGGAAGAACTTCCAAAATAACACTTGGACGATCCCTCTTTCTATAGGAGCTCACAGATAGACGTGCTTCTCGGCGCCGATATCCTCCCATCCATATTTGTAGGTGGCTCCTATCCCAACATATGTGGCACTCTCCTTGGTCAAGAAACGACGAAACAGGCCCCGTTTCTAAGACCAGTGCCAAATCGATCGCATCCTTTTCGACTCAAGTCTCACTGAATCCAAATGCGAGCTTGGATAAACTGCTCACAAAATTTTGGGAGGTGGAGGATATTCCAGTAAAGCTGGAAAAGGAATCTGACCTATTTTGTGAGCGCAATTTCCAAAAGAATACTAAAAGAGATAAAAACGGCAGATACTTGGATTCATTCAAGAATTCCGATTACATCCAGTTAGGCCATTCAAGGTCCATCGCACTAGCTGGCAAAAAATGCCCCCCTTAAGGAGCAGTACGATGCGGTGATCCAGGAATATCTGGACTTAGGTCACATGCGACAAGTCCTTCAAAGCAATTGTTTGGATAACTTTTTTCTACCACACCATGCTGTTCACAAGCCTGACAGCACCAGTCTGAACGATGTGCTAGATGCAGGGCCCGTTCTGCAATCCGACTTAACCATTCAAATTCTAAGATGGCGCTTCTTCCGATATGTCTTCAATGCCGATATCACGAAAATGTATCGGCAGATACTTGTGCATCCCAAACGCACACCCTATCAGAGAATTCTGTTCCGAACAAAGGACAACGAGCTTCGTGACTTCGAACTCAGCACAGTCACGTTTGGAGTTAACTGTGCGCCCTTTTGGCAATCTGGGTACTACATCCGTTATCTGATGACGTTCGTTCGCTCTATCCCTTAGCAAGTCACATTATCGCAAACAATATGTATGTCGACGATGTACTAGCGGGAGCCCATTCCAAATCAACGGCAGATCAAGCAATTGCAGAACTCCGCAAAGCCCTTGAATCTGCCGGGTTCCCCTTGCGAAAATGGACATCCAATGAGAAGGACTTGCTAAAAGCGATTCCCAAGGACCACTTGCTTCGCTCCGACTTCTTAGAGATCGAAGAAGCCTGTTCGGCAAAGACTCTCGGAATCAGATGGAAAGCTGACACCGATGAGTTCTTTTTCGCTCCATCCGAGCTAACAACCAAACAGTCCGTCTCCAAACGTCAAGTCCTTTCACAGATTGCCAAACTGTTCGATCCAGCAGGTTGGCTGGGTCCAGTCAGGCAAAATTATTCATGCGGGAGATCTGGCTCCAAGAACTGGACTGGGACGATCCGCTACCTGAGAGTCTTCTCAGTAAGTGGAATTTATTTCTGCAAGAGTATCCGGGCCTCAGTGGGATTCGCATCCCTAGATGGGTCGAATTCCGCCCACAGGGGACTATTCAATACCACGGGTTTTGTGGCGCTTCGCAGCGTGCATATGGGGCCGCCATTTACGTGCGCACTGAGATATAAGATCGCATCTCAGTACATCTCCTAACAGCGAAAACGAGTGTCGCCCAGGTCAAGACGGTATCCTTGCCACGACTAGAGCTGTGCGGAGCCGCACTTCTGTCCGAGCTAACAGCTGCACTCAGTCCCGTTACCTTCCGCTGGCGGCGACTGGCTCTATTGGACAGATTCCATAATTGTGCTAGCTTGGCTTCATAAGCCACCATGCGCCTGGACTACCTTTGTAGCAAACAGAAATGAGCTGTGGTGGCACGGGCCAGAATGGTTACACCTACCTCAGAACCTATAGCCCATTCCTTCAGATCCCCTCCCAGATACGACAATAGAGCAACGTACGAGTGAAGTAAACCTCGCAAACACGGCTCCCTCATTTTCTTTCCTCGAGCGCTTCTCCAATTTCGATCGAGCCCTGCCAGTGTTAGCATACATCTATCGTTTCTTCAAGCGTTGCAAACGATTGTCGCTCCCGTCAACTATTGCAATTCACAGCAACGAGATTTCTTATGCACAAGAAAGACTCATTCTCCTGACCCAGAGACAAGCATACTCGTCAGAGTACACTTGCTAGAGCACGAAAAAACAGCTCACTTCCAGCAAACTCCTTAATTTGAACCCCTTTCTAGATGGTAAGGGAATTATTCGAGCATGTGATCGTGTAAGAGCGACATGTGCCGCGTCTCGCGTCTCTTGACCGCTTTCACCCATCTAATATCCTTGCATGGAGGCAACTTGCTCATGATGCGTTTAATAAGATCACAGAAAAATTCCTAGCGGCATTTGCGAGATTTGTGGCACGACGAGGGTGCCCAAGTCATATGCATTCCGACAGCGGCAAAACCTTCGTCGGAGCGGCCAAAGTCCTCTCGCGCGATTTTGTAGACTAAACTCCAGGCCACTTACAGTCTCCAGAAACTGTCCTAGCACTTCAACTCTCCTAGTGCACCGCATATGGGTGGCCTGTGGTAGGCAGGTTAAAGAGTTTCAAAAATCGACCTCCAAATACACCTTCGAAGAGCTTTCCACGCTCCTATCCAAAGTTGAAGCATGCCTGAATTCAAGACCGATATCTCCAATGTTGGAAGATCCTACTGATCTCTTAGCTCTGACTCCCGGTCATTTTTTAGTCGGCGGTCCTCTACTTTCCGCCACAGAGCCAGAAATCAAGGAAAACGCCGGGACCATCATCAACCGCTGGCAGCGCTTGAAGGCTTTGCAACAACAGTTCTGTGTCCGTTGGAAACATGAGTATCTTTTAGAGTTACACAAAAGAAAAAAATGGCAAACTTCAATGCGAGACTTACAACGGGACAATCTAGTCATTATTATAGAAGATAATCTTCCAGTTAATGACTGGCGTCTAGCTCGAATCCAAACGACCTATCCTGGCAACGACCAAAGAGTCCGAGTGGTTGACGTGTTAACAGCCCGAGGTGTCTCCAGAAGACCTATCTCTAAGCTGATCCTGCTCCCGATAGAATCTAGTCTCCATTCTCCATCCAGTAGAATCTCCAGTAAAGACTAGAATCCTAGATCAATAGGTCTGCGGACCATCCGTATAAGGCCGCATAAGTAATGTCTATTATGTTTTTTTTTCAATCTTCTTCACGTAACAGCACGATATCTCCACGCCAACAACAAGGCCGATCCAAGAGCCGACCGGCAACTGAATCGTTCCGATGCCGAGTATGCCGAAGAGTCCACGTGCTGCGAAAGTGCCCTTTTAGTCCCGTGCTGTCCGGTAAGTCTTATCGACGCAACCTTGGCAAAGGCCTCCGGGCTATCCGTCACCCGCGTCGGTAAAGACAACGCTTGCTCGGCCATTATAAGTTCCAGGACCACTAGCTTCCAGCGAGAGGTCATCCTCCAGGGGATGCCAAATCTCCGGTATCGAACTCCAACGATTGCTTGGAAACGGAGTAAGTTATCGATTATCGGAAACGAACTTGATCTGCGCGCGAACTAGGAGCATTTACATCTAAAATTTCAAGTCTCTAGCTCTTATAGGTTCTGAGATCCTTGCGTTCATACATACGGACGGACGGACGGACAGACAGACGGACATGGCTAGATCAACTCGGCTATTGATGCTGATCATGAATATATATACTTTATGGGGTCGGAGATGCTTCCTTCTGCCCGTTACATACATTTGGATTTTGCACAAATTCAATATACCCTTATACCCATTTTTAATGGGTTCAGGGTATAAAAAGGAACTTAAATAGCATTACAGAAAAAAGTCGCAATAACCATGCTGTTAAAATGCGAAGCAGACGCGCATGAATGTGTGTTTGTTCATGTATACAGAAATTCGTAAAGATGCTGCTCTATTCAATTGCTCAGTTGCATATAACTTTGGTTTTTTTTTAACCGATCTTTATGAAATCTTCTACTGTATATCTTATTGTATCAAAGAACATATGTGTATACTGAAAAAGTCATTTTCAAATAAAATTTGGCTTAAATTGGTTAGCAATAAAAGTTGGGTTATTAACTTGATTTATAGCTCTGGGGTGGTAGCGAAAAGCTCTTATAGGTTCTGAGATCCTTGCGTTCATACATGCGAAGGTCGGACGGACGGGCGGACGGACAGACAGACGGACATGGCTAAATCGAGTCGGCTATTGATGCTGATCAAGAATATATATACTTTATGGGGTCGGAGATGCTTTTTTCTGCCTGTTACATACATTTGGATTTCGCACAAATACAATATACCCTTAAACCCATTTTTAATGGGTTCAGGGTATAAAAAAAAGTCAAACCTAGTCAGTTGAGCGGCACCAGGTTTGAAAAATATTTTTTCTTCTCTCTTTGTTCCAATGGCATTTTTCCCTTCTTTCGGTTTTGCTTTGAACATTAATTTGTTTACTCATATTATATATGACAAAAAATGGAACGGGTTCTATGCAACGGTAAATCAGAATTTTGCTTTCATTGTGAAATTCGCTAAATGTGTGGTCTATTTTTGGCTCATCTGATTAGGTTTGACAACTTTGACTTCACTTTTTGATTGACTGCGTGATTGAAAACATATAATTTCTTTGGTCTACTTAAATTTAAAGTAATTGCTACCATTTTTTTTAAATATGGGTGGGGGAAAATCTTTAACCGATTTTGAAAAAGGTCAAATTAAAGGCTATATTGAATCTGGCCTAAAACCTAATGAAATAGCAAAGAAGATTGGTCGAAGCCAAAACGTGGTAAGCAATATTCTTCGTAATGAAGCCGATTACGGGAAAAAATGAAAAGAGGAAAAAACTCTGCTACAACGGCATCAGACAGGCGACTAATCCTTCGAGCTGCTTCGAATTCCCACCTCTCTGCCAGTAAAATCATGGATGAATGCGGCGTAAATGCTAGTTTGGCAACGGTAAAACGAGTTATTCGGAGTGCTAAACACTTAAAGAGATTAAAGATTAAAAAAAACCTCCTCTCAATGATGCACGGAAGGAAGAAAGGATGAATGCGGTGTAAATGCTAGTTTGGCATCGGTAAAACGAGTTATTCGGAGTGCTAAACACTTAAAGAGATTATAAATAAAAAAAACCTTCTCTCAATGATGCACGGAAGGAAGCGTTACTTCGATTTGCGCGGGATCACATGACATAGAAGAAGGAGTGGAAGGCTGTCGTCTTCTCCGACGTAAGAAAGTTCAATCTCGACGGACCGGATGGCTTCAACTATTATTTTTACGATATGCGAAAAGAGGAATGCTTTTTGAGTCGTTATCAAAATTACGTTTTATGGAACTTGCGAGCTGCAGTTTGTTTCCTTAATGATGAATGCTTATGTCTACAAGACTGTGCTCCAAAAGGCTTTTCCCCAGTTTTCCCAAATTTTTGGACCTATTCAATGGACAAACAAGACAACGAGCCCATCCATACAGTCCGAGTTACAAAACAGTGGATTAAGGACCAGAATGTCAACTTGCCAAAGTGGCCGCCATATTCCCCAGACATAATATTATCGAGAACATTTGGGGACTTTTATCCAGGAGAGTGTATGAAGGGGGAAGACAATTTCAGGACTCGGCGACCCTGGTTGAAGCGATTAAAAAAGCCTGGTCAACTATTTCACTGAGTGAGTAAGAGGTTCTAGTCGGGAACTCCCGACTAGAGGATACCCTGAACCCTCTTCTTCCAAGATCAAATACATATTGTTCACACAAGAAGTGTATCCGGCAGTCGCCATCCAACCGCCATGTAACTCCGGAGCCAGCACATGGAACATGAAATTCACCTCACTTACATTAATACATTGTAATGTACTCTGACAATATAAAAGGGAACAAAAAAAACCCAGCAAGCGAACAAACGTGTTTTTTTTTTCAAACCTTCTTAAGTAAATTTGTGCAGAGCAGAAACGCTCCCCCAACGACACAGAAATTCGTAAAGTTCATCTGGAAGCCCTGCGGACACCCTACTACATCATTTGATTCTCGAGCCGGAAATCTCATCAACATTTGGCATATCCAGTTCGCCCCAGCAAGCATTGATGGATCTGCAATAAAAGGTTCCAGGAACAGCTACGAATTCAAACAAGATAAGTAGCAGTGCACCTACCTCAACTCGTCCATTGCCAATTTTCCGGCAACTCCAGTCCGATTAATTCATATTTGAGTGTCTGAAGATATTTTTTCGCTTCACATTGTCCGTGGTTAAAGCGAGTGGCAATTGCATTTAAAAAATTAAAAAGACAAACCGCATATAATATATTGCTCCTGGCCATAAGGGCACCTACAAAGTGACAAAAACAAATAAAACGGAAAGTGACTCCGATAAGGTCGCCATGTGTATAAGTTAACAGAGGCCAACGACACCAGCCCCAGATGCTGATATAGCACTGAGCCGGATGTCCTTACGAGCTAACAGGGGTCAGCAAAATGCAACATAACACCAGCCGCAGATGCTGACATAGCTCTGGGCCGGATGATCTTGCACGAGGGCAGCGCACGAGGCGCAAGCTAAGCATTCTAGCGGCCGTTGTATAAGCACACAATAGCTTAGGTATTTTTGATCAATCTTTCGTAAAAACTATTTAATTCGACTTTCACTGCGGCACATCGGCCCAGCGACTTCGTGTATAATTTAACTCACTCACTACGGCGTGTCGCCCTAGTGTTTTATAAATCATTATTTAAATAAAGTTCTATTAAAATAATCCGCGAGGACTTATTATTTAAAACCTAATTGGCGCCCAACTTTTTCGGACCATTTTGTTCCATAATTATTTTGTGTGCTGTGCAGTGTAAAGAACTAACCTAACTACCTAACTACCAGTGCAAACAATAAAAGCTGTGCCTGATCTACATCAACTTACGTCAGCGGCACAAGCACAATAAAAACCATTTGATACACCGAGGCCGCTGGAGCTCTTCGGCCAGTGACTTGTCACCACCAAACCAGCGCGCAAGCGGGTTTGGGCAGCGACGTAAACCAACACCACAGACTTCAGCGAGGGATAAAAAAAAAAAAAGCATTCGCGACTGCAGCGTGGGAATTTTAAAAGTAGATCATACAAGCTTTCTAGGAGCAAATAAAATGTAAGTGGCCATCATTTGGCACAAACTTTTTTCAATTTGCGTGATTTATTTAAAATAAAATCGTATAAAAGTATAAGTAGAAATATTAAAATTGGAGTAATTGTGTTCCCAACTAACTTTGAGTAACACAATTTTGCGTCCATCAGCAATTTTCAATAAACTCTCCTCTGTCAGCATTCATTTAATTTACCGTTGTTGATTTGCCCTTGAAATTGTGTTGTTATTATTGTTGACAAGTATAGTCCATGAACAGCTCGTTTCTCAGGTACACAGACCGCTATGCGAGGGGATCTGAGTCAGACGACTCCACCACCTTAGATAGGGAAGCCGTCCCGCAAAAAATCGCTGACAACAGGTGTAAAATAGAAATGGAGCCTGAGCAGCCTAGGGCCTTGGTGCAGGCCGCAGTGGCCTCCGCTTTAGAAGCACAGAGCGCAATATTGAGGCAAAGAGATGCAGAGCTGAGGGCTTCCTTAGACGTTCAGATACAAGAATTGGTAGGCAGAATATCTACCAGTGGTGTAGAAACACCGCCGGTCCAGGCATTTGAGCCGGTGGAAATCAGAAACGACGTCCAATGTAATGAACCATTGGACGCCGTTAAATGCTTACCAGAATTTACGGGGGTGCCAGAGACGTACGCCTCTTGGAGACAAGCTGCGATGGCGGCATATAAAATTTACAAGCCATACGACGGCAGCTCACGCCACTACCAGGCGGTCATTATTATAACGAGCAAAATTAGAGGGGCAGCTGACGGCGTTTTGGGTCAGTTTGGCACAGTAATCAATTTTGATGCCATAATAAACCGTCTCGATTTCACATACAGGGATAAGAGAGGCATTCACGTCATAGAGCAAGAGATGGGCACCCTAAGAAAGGGCTCGTTAACAATTTTACAATACTCTGACGAGGTTGAGAAAAAGCTAACTCTTCTCACCAATAAGGTCCTCATGTCTTATAAACCAAACATGGCACAAGGGCTCTGTACAAAGTTTAGAGATGATGCGTTGCGTGTTTTTGTCTCAGGCCTAAAGCGTAGCGTGACTTACCGTCGGCCCTAGCGCTAGCGCAAGAGGTAGAGGCAAACCATGAGAGGAACGCCTTTGCCGCTAGCTTCACTAAAGGACAAGAAGATAGGGAACGAAAAGTGACCCCGAGGCCGCAGGTCCGTCAGCAAGATAGGGGTCAACAGCAGGGGGATCCGCAACCCAGTGGTTCCAAAAATCCTCAGTTCACTAAACAACAGAAACAGCAACAAAGTCAATTTGAGCAACAGAGTGGCAGGTGGAACAAAGATGGCGGGTCACCGGAACCAATGGACATCGATCCATCTGTGTCTAAAATTCTACAACCATCGCAAGCACCAGCCTACGTTAACTCTAGCGCTCCTCAAGCCTTCAAAAGATCGGCCACGTCTGGGCGTTTAAGCGGACAGAGGAGGCAGAGAGTCAATCACACAGCTCACGAGCCGGATCAAGATGCAGGTTTGTAAGCTAGCTTTGCAACAGCAGCAGAACAGCAAA